AAGTAATTTAAACTGATGTAGTAAGCTTGTAACAAGTCTGGTTCTTCATGGGGTACCCTCTCAACCCATAACATTTATTAAAATGTTACAAGACAAACAACGGCAAAATCTAATTAAATAAACAAACAAAGAGCATTTACTCTTCTTCGTAGCCGTTGGCTACACAATCATTTGTAAGGCAGGATTTCATTGCTAATTTATGCACTATTTTATCATATAGCGAGAATTCATTTCGAACATTATCAAAACTCGAAAATAAAAATGCGAAAGTTACAACTTTTTGTAGAGACATCTTATCAGCACAGATTTTTTTTGTTGAAAGCTAGATCATGAAACTCAAAGAAAAAAGTAAAATCGGAAATTTCTGTTTTCCACCATTCTTGGGGAATAAAAGTTGGAGAAACGCAATTTGAGTGCTTGCGCTAAACAGGTTCTGTTAACGCGATATGATAATGGTGATTCTTTGAGAAACTCAGAGGAAGTAAGTTTTTTTCTTCTAAATTACCATACTTTCTGAATTTCTTTCTTGTATATTACTTCAAGCAGATCCATTGAACATGGAGGAGATTACGGAGTTTTGAAAAATTTTGGAGTAAGACTTATGTTCCAATCTAATAGTATCGCGATGAAATCATACAGGAGTTAAATATTGTTAACTTGAACCCTCCTCTACAGAATAAGTGGATTGTGAAGGATGCTACTACACTAGCTCCTTCGATGCCATTTTGCTGTATCAGTTCTTCACTACTCATATTTAACAGCAAGTTAGCGAAAGTAGAACTTTGATAAGCAAAAACGAAGCAGGAACTTTAGAGAAAAATGGAGACTTTTGGTGAGAGAAGAAGCGCAAAAGCTAGTTTATCCTTTTACAAGTTATCACCACGTTTCCATTAGGATTTTCCAGATATTGTACTAGAAGGAAAGTACAACAAGCGCTGAATCTTCATTGTATAAAAATTTTCAGAAAGGAGGACTGCGTAGCGAAAGAGACAGAGACGCACTGAGTGGATCTCCTGACTTAATGGCGAATGTATACGACGAGTAAAGGATACCGTCGCATTAGCGTTTAGCAAGGAGATGTACATCGTTCCGGTCCCTTCTGATAATAAAATTATCGAGTTTTGCCCTGTTTGAATCCGAGTACGAGTATTCATGCATAATTGCTGCGGCAGAAATGTGTTCTGAAAAAATTACGACGAAGCTGGTGTTAGCTACTCAAGAAGAATCCAGATAGAATAGAAAATTTTGCAAAAAAACGCACAGCGACGGGTACCTACACGATTTGTTCCTGGTACATTGCGGCTTCAAAGCCAACTGCTTTCGCAACTGCACTATCAACGTTGCTATGAATGGTGCATCAATACTCGTACTCGATTCGGACAGACAACGCAAAACTAATGGGCCCAGAGGTCCGTAACTTCCCTCGCGGAACCGCTTCGGATATGGAAAGCAGATATTCATCATCACCTCAGTACATCTCCTTGCTGAACGCCTGCGACTCGGTACCCCTTAAGTAATATAGTGTGTATACACCGAAAAATATCTGTTCAATTGTGTATATTGTTTGATGTGTTTTTCCAATCTTTGATTGTTAAAGGCAGCATCCGGACAAAATTTCGAACAAAATTTTTTTCGCTTGCCTTGGCTTATTCTCCCCCGCTGATTGCGAAATGCAGCTTGCAGAGTACCAAAATGTCGAAAATGAGCTATTCAGAAGCTGTTAATTTCGAATACGGAAGCTTGCCGCCGAGGTTAAGACGCAGGGTCGTGGTGGGACCCTACGCCTTGACTGCGTGCGACGTACGTACTCTGGCTATCAATTGAGGGGGCGGGCAGGTCGCCGGGGCGTCCCGGTCGCCACTTCTGAAGCGATTTTCTCGCTTCAGAAGCAAACTAGTGCACTCCCAGTTGGGCAAAGGGTTTACCAGGATGGGATCCCTTGTACGCTAAAATCTCATATCTGCCCGGACGCCGCCTTTAATCTGTAGACCACTTATCCGAGAAAAATTTTGCACAGGTTTTTCACAGTATTTTAGATGATGTAAATAGGTACGGAGGAATAGTATTAGGTTGTCGCATAGGCTTTTCATTTTTGTGTTTTCGCTGTGATAAGTCATACACTTCTTATTCTAAACAGTCATCATGATACCGTTCGATAGAGCAAAGCAAGCTTTATAAGACGGCGCTTATGCTTTCACCAGCTTCGATCCACCTCAAGTTTGAAACCAAAATCTAAAAAGTTTCGGATGCCCAGAAAATCGAGAATTTATTATGTCCTCGTTCAAAAAAGTCCTACAGATCTCTCACTCGCTCATGCATATACATTTCACATCAGACACTCATATGTGCTACTGCTGTATTTTTTTTTATTGGCTAGAAATCACGAAAATGAAAATCCCCATGTTTTTACAGTGATGCTGTCTGTTCTTACACTAACACTTCTATACTACAAGCCCTTAGAAGTACAACCATAACTTTTTAGCACCAATAAGCTCTGGTTTTCCGAGAAATGTTGAGTTAAGCGTGAAAAATTCAAGTGTGGAAAGAATTCGATATTTCTCGAGCTATGGAGAGCTGAAAATTTACGGTTGTACCTCTAGAGTCTTGTAGTGTACAACTGTTAGTATAAGAACAGCACAGCATCACTTTGGTAAAAACATGGAAGTTTTCGTCTTCTTGATTTCTAGCTGATAAAATAATACAGCAATAGCATAAATGAGTGTCTGATATGGAATGTATATGCGTGAACAAGTGAGAGATCTGTAGGAATTCATTCAATGAAGATATAAAAAAATTTGAGTTTATCCAAAACATTTTAGATTTTGGTTTCAAACTTGAGGTGGATCGAAGCTGGTGCAAAACCATAAGCCATCTTATAGAGCTTGCTTTGCTCTGTCGCATGGTATCCTGATGGCTATCTAGAATACTTATCACGGCGGAACCCAAAAATGAGAAGACTTTAAGACAACCTAATATTAGGTTGGTGCAAAAGTAATGCGCGCTTTTTAGCCCCGGATTCAGGACAACTTTTTTCCATCGAATAAAAAAAGACATAGCACACCTTTAAGAATTTTCATGCTCTATCCAAAAGTGGTTGAAACAAGCTCCCCAGCCCCATAAATTTTCTTTTTGAAGAACGCAATTGCCAAAGCTTTACTCATTTCTGTAAGCGTAATGTTAGTTCTCCTGTTGGCAGTTTTTTAAAAAAAGCTTAGATCTTTAGCACGCAAAAAATCAAAAAGGATTCATGTTTTGAAACTTTCAGGCCTACGAAAAAATGTTCAAAAAAGCTGACAATTTTGAATTTTTCTTTTCGCAAATCCACTTCATTTGAGCCCTTTCCATCATTTTTTGGAGACTTTACCCCCTTGCGGCTACAAGATAGGCTACTTAGCATTTATACTAACAAACTTTGTAGCGAATTTTGACAAGTTAAAAAAGAAGTTTTAGAAAACAATTTTCTTGCTTATCCTGTCGATTATTTTCTGGCCGTTTGTGATATGGCCTCAAGAGGATGTGCGTTGTATTGCGAAAGGTCTGCTGCCTCTGATGGTCTTAATCGCATCAAAGAATATGGATTCTCAAGAAAGTTATAGCAGGTCAAAGTGAGAACTCGCAAAACGCGCATCCCTTTTGCACCAACCTAATATTTCTGTGTCTACCACAACTTTGAAATAAGATTCACGATAATGCGCGATGCTTATGTTTAGATCTCTGACTCAAAAGAAGTATTCTGATTTGCAATGGTGCAATCCTTTTTACAGTTTCTACCGTACTTTTGCAATAACGAAGAAAGACCGGATTCGTTTCATACTTCAAATTTGAATGCAAGTTGAGAACAGCTATACAAGTGGTACCTAGAGATGGGCAACACATAATTAAGGCAGATCTTCGTATTGAAACAATGAGGACTATTTCGGGCAGCCGCTATATTGTCTTTTTTGAAAAAGAAGAGCGCAGCAAAGTGCCGAGACTACCACAATGTTTCGCATCTGCCCGCTGCCGATGATGGTGGGAATGTCTATTTTTCTAAAGGTATGGAGCACAAATCTGCTCTCGATTTGAATTTAGTATTATGGTCCGTACAAAAAGACGAGTAAGCAACGGAATCTGTGCAGCGTCTCGTGCATTGGACGAATTTTATGGTAACGATCTGAGTGGTAAACACGTTATAAGCACAAATCTCTTTTCTTGTTCTAGAAGATCATTGTCACTAAGCCTGCAGGATGGACTTTGCAACCTAGTGAAATCTGTATAAATGTGTCTGTCTGCACGTATGTTCCGAATAAAACTTACTATTTCTGAACCGATCCGGACTAAACTACGCACAAATACATCTTGGGCGGGACAGGTGTCGCAGGCTACTTTTCGTTAATGATCGATTTAACCGATTTTTCGCAAAGTTTAAGCTACGGATTAGGAGTTGGCACGGTAGGAGTATGCTGATTACTGATTACGAAATATTATTGACAGGGCCGGGTGTCCTGCCGGCTAGTCATCTCTATATATATAAAGCAGAAAATCTGCGAGTTTGTTTGTACGCATTCCGGTGCAGGTTGTGCAGGGTGTGCAGGGTGTTCACGGTGTGCAGGTGTGCAGGATGTGCAGGATGTACAGGGTGTGCAGGATGTGCAGGATGTGCATTATGTGCAGGATGTGCAGGGTGTGCAGGGATGTGGAGGATGTGCAGGGTGTGCAGGGTGTGCAGGTGGGCAGGGTGTGCAGGTGGGCAGGGTGTGCAGGGTGTGCAGAGTGTGCAGGGTGTGCAGGATGGGGAGTTTAGACTGATAGATTGGCTCCAAACCGGAGTGAAACCCGGGATGCCTGCTCGTTCATAATATTTTGAGCTCTCAGGATAAAGTTGAATTCTGGACTATATGCTCTTGTAGGTGAGTTTTCCACACTTAAAAATTTTCATTGCTAAAAAAGTTAGCATTTAATTGAATAGAAGAAGGCTGAAACTATAAATTAGTGTCCGCACTCTGTAACTTCTTCTTGTGTTACTGCATCACAGATTTTTCTCTGCTTCTGCTCATGTTAGTTTCATCCGAATCCTCCTAGATGAACTAATTGTTTACTTGTGCAAAACCAGAAAGTGAACCGACTCACAACATATGTTTCTGTTTTGCTTCTAGTTGTGCTGCAGAGCTGTTTAATAAGTGTTTTTGAAGGTAGCAATATCTGCAAAATAACTTGCAGTTACTGACCACCTTAGATAAAAACATACCCTAAATTCGCGTTTCCGAAGAGCTCTAATGGTCTTATATATGTCATCCATCGTCGGACGTTGATCAGGATTCAACGTCCTAAACTCGATAATCTTAGGATGCAAGATGACTCCCAACACATACCATATTTCTCCCATCAATTTTTTGAAAGGTTTCGGTGTTTTTTCTGGATAATCTGGCATCCTTCCCTTCCTGTAGACAAACTATCCAGAATTAATTGAGTTAAATTCTTTCGCTGGCCCACCTAATGTGTGTAGCAATTCGCTTTGGAGGATCATCCGGCCAAGGTTTATCGCCATCGTTGAAAATTTCATACAAGAGCTGTAATCATCCAAAATGTTAGCGTCGTTTTGAATCTGTAAGGTGAGTAATGCGGAATGGTTGCTATAACATAGCGATAATTCAGAAGGCAACGCTTTACGATTTCCTATAAACAAAAGAATGTATCAGAGATTGAATGATTAAGCTTTTTGAGTTGTATAGGAATGTGGGTAGAGAATAAAGTTCATTGCGAAGGCGAAGAATAGAGTTTTCTGTATAAGAGCGGAAGAGTCTGCGAAGCTGCTACTGTAAGTTTCAATCACCTTTGCTCTTGATTCTTATAAAGTACTCTATGTACCTACTTGATGGTACCAATAACGCTTCCAGATTTCTTTGAATAGAGTGCAGGGGGGGGGGGCAGAGGAGAGGGAGGGAGAACGGAATGCGACAGAATTTTTGAATGAGTGAGCGTGACCTTAACCACGTGATCTAATTGTGAGGACTTATTGGGGTTGCTTGTTCAATAACAGACCAAATTTTCCGCCAGATATCTACAAAATTGACAAAAATACATCCAGCCATTTACAAATAGGAAAAATATGAACAGTATACCACTTCAAGTATGCAACCGGATCTATAAATGCACGTCCACCCAAACTGAGGGTAATGGAACTGTCATAGATTCACCCTTCCGTATAATCACCAAACTTACGACATTTCTGTCAACCTTGAACCCCAATTCAGCGTAGCCCCTTCTACTTTCTGGAGTTGTCCCAATTTCTTTGCAGAAAGACTGCTTAATTAAGGACCCGCTACTATGGGTGGACAGCGCCTTTGATCTTCACTTCGGCCCAGCGCTGGAGAGCTATTTGTAAACGGTGCACTTTCTTTAATCATTTTAGGTTCTTGCTGATGTCAGGCTTCCGAGAACCTAATATGTTATACTAGGCGGTAAGGTTTGCTATCCTCTCATGGCATGTGCCAAATTTCCAGCCATAAGCCATGAACCCACTAACTCAGCGATGACATGTTTAGGTACTTTTGTTCTAACGTTATATTGGTTCACTCACCACTCCGTAACTCCAAACATCGCTCTTGAGTGACCACAGCTGTGGGCGCTTTAAACATTCTGGTGCCATCCAGCTAAAGATCATCTTGATTCCATAATGGCTCAGTTGCAGAACATTTCTTCATACAAGCCAAGTGGGCAACCAACCGCAACGGGATCTGTTCAAGAGGTGGTTCTTCACCTTCTTCCTGTTTTCCTCCCACGAGCTCCTCAGCTATCTTGGATAAGCCAAAATCAGATATCTGAAATCCACAACAGTTTACTGTTTTTTTTTTACTAAAAGCAGAGAAAACCTTCAATATGCCATCTTCCGAGATCAAACAATTTCGCGCAGCAAGATCCCGGTGAACGCATGATTTTGAATGGAGGTACCGCATTCCTCGAGCCGTCTGAAATTTAGCCAGGTGTAATCTTAGCGAAAATAGGCAAAAGAGGTACCTCTGATGCGTATCCAACCAATTCATTTATCTCAATTTTGCCCTTATGTTTTTGTAGATGTTCTTGAAGGTTACCTCCAGGACAGAACTCCATAACAATCATTACAGGATAGTGGTCACAAGCAACTCCGTATAGCTGAAAACGGTGTTATTTTCTAAACTCTTTGCTGACTGTTAACCAATCTTTGGTAAATTATTGATCTTATCGATGTTCTATTGCCATCTATGAATAGGTGTGACTTGTACTCAAGCGCTTATTAGCCATGCCACTTCTTATCCATCTTCTAAGGTCGCAAAAAGTTTCAGTATTGTCAAAGGGGTTGTGACGGGTACCACGCAAAAGCAGACCCCATGGCCTTGCCATGTCGGGTGCGAAGAGATTAGTCAAGCCGGAAGCGGACTTTGTGCTAAACTTAAGAGATAGTAAAACTTTAGATTTACCGAACTCAAATCATTTAGCCCTAAGGCCACATAGTCACTATTGTGATCATAGGATTTGCAGCGACTCTGCGTTTTAATTCTGGTGTTCTCTGCATCCGATGCCCAGTATCTTGACTTTTGTGACATATTTTAGCTTTTTTATGTACTCTATGCTCGATGATTGAGATCAGCGTGACGGGTAAGCATAGTTGACCGAAACTTAACATTGAGGTTTGCCTAAATACTACCTGTAGGGTACTGAATACGTCGAATCTCTTAAGTTTAGTCTTTCAAATGAAAAAACCCCTTTGCTCTCCCGAAACTTTGGAAATGGGAATAATGCGGAAAACCAGAGTAATTATTATCGCACTGCACTGCACGATTGTGAATGAGTCAGCTCAGTTAAGAGATAACGTTTGGTAGATTTCGGAATTACAACAAGAAGGGAAAACTGGGCCGTCTTCGTTCTATGCATTAGCCAAGTGACTAGATCATCAACTAGATCACCCACCCTAAGACGCCAGCCAAGTCTTGTGCTGTCTCGAGTGTTAGGAAGACAATGGACCTGTACATTAGACCAAACGTTCGTATTTGAATATTCCATTATAACGAATGAACTATTCAAATAGATTGTTTGGCCTATGTCGTTTGAATGTCTATATCATTTGCTCGACTGCTATGATCGAGTGATTACATTTTGTTAAATACTCGCTTAACCGATTACTTGGATGAATGGTGAGAAACGTTCTTGAAATTCCGATGTTTCACCAACTTTTTTGCACAATTTAAGTAACTAGTGGGTCGTTTCTCCTTCATAGAGGCTCGCACGGGCTCTACATCTTTCGTACTTTCCTCGTACTCGCGTAGTGATTGCTCTGAAACTACCGCGCAACGCATCATTAAATGATGCAAAAAATGCAAACCACTACACATTTCAAAAGGTATTCCATGTTAGGTTGGTGAACTTGGGAAGATGTATCCTTTTTAGAATAGATAAAAGTTGAGTTGAACTTGTCATGGCTTGGGGGTGGAGGACTATATGTCGCCGAAAAAGGGCGGTCCCCGTGGTCATTTGCGACAAACACTCACCCTTATACATGCGCGGACATGCGTTCCTGCAGGGAATCCGCGTGGGACTCTTCCAAATCCGGCGACATATAGTCCTCCACCCATGGCTTGGTGGTCACCATATAGAACAAAATTAGTGTGAGGTACATTTCTGAGCGAACTTAGCTGCTTAAGTGGAAGCTTGAAAAATCGATGAATTATTTCGCTAACCCTTTTTGGCGCCATTTGCGCAAAGAGCTATTTTTTCAATTGCTTTTTGGCTTAGACTCGATGGTTTGAGCATTTCGAAATCAAACAAAGTAATTGCTTCGCAGAAAATTACCCATGGATCGCGTCTCCCAAAATCATAGTCGTGCCCGTTTGATGCGCAATTTTCGTAGGATCCACGCAATGGATCCGCTCAAAATTTCGCAAAAATTTCGCATGGTGGTCCTACATGCTATTAGCGTATGTTGCAAAAATTTAGGCTCAGAACATTGCAACTATTCGATGATTCTAACAGACAGACGTTAGGACACACACAAAGGGCGTAAACAACCCTTACCCCGTTATTATAAGTCCTGGTAGGTTCGTTTACCACGATGGCGCGTTTGTTCCCTCAATGCTATTTATGCAGCTAGAATAACCAGCCAGGTGCAATTTGGCCGTACATCTTACTTGTACGATGCTTATCATGGAAGATATTACCATACGATAGCTTACCATGGAAGATTTTCATACAATTCCATCATAAACATATAAATCTAAATCTAAATCTAATCTATTCTAAATCTCTTTAATCTTGGCTATGACTACACTGTAGAAGTATTATCATTCTTTCATTACTACAGTGCGTTTCATAACTATACGACATCCCCGAAATTTTGGATTGCCGAGTTTGCGGAAGAGATCAAGTACTCCAGTCAGTAACTGTGTGATCCACACATGGTAATGAATAAAATGACATCTCAATCAATATATCTAATCACTTGCTTTTCCACATGTAGTGGCATGTCTACTTTTTCACTGTCTCATAACTATACGACACATTTGAGCAAAGCACTTTTTCCAAGAAAAAGAATAATGTAAAACGTGGTTTTCATAACTAATAGGGCTACCTGGCTCTTTTACCACTTCATCAAGTCTATTGAACATGCTTCTAACGGATTCGAGCATGTTTTCGGTTCGGTGCTGTCACATGCTTCCATGACGAACTGCTCCGACTTTTCCAGTGCCTCAAACGGCTTGTGCCTGCTCAGAAACGCTATGCCACTAATTTTCAGATTTTCTGAAGGATTTGAGACAAGACAGTATGATGACCTTTACAGAAACTGTTCGCGATGCTGGCGAAGAACGGCGGTAAGTGACCCGCATGCATGCTTAATGCGTTGCGCTGCTTCAATACGTAGTACTGTCACCGGCGCTTTTGGAAGGAGAACAGTTTTTGACTTTCCAACACTTCTTGGCAACCTGCGCGCAAACTTTCTCATCGAAATTTAGGCTTTTAAAACACACAAAATGCTCCCAGATTATAGAGGAACCTCCGCTGAAGCTTCTCTTGCTGGAATGAAGTGGACTTTGCTTACATCCGGCCAGTGGGTCCTTTAGGCCCCAAACAGATTTCACGCGATTTGATCGTCGCGATTGAATCGCGACAAGACAACTATTACAACATCATTCCATGCCGATCAACTTGCATTTCGGTTGTGATACTTTTCCAGCCCGAAATTTTTGAATGAGAAATGAAAATGAATGGCAATGTCGGCGATTGAGTCGCGACGATCAAATCGCGTGAAGTCTGTCCGGGGCCTTAGCCGTTCAAACTAAACTTTTTTTTATTAGATTACCTCACCAAATAATTGTCTCATTCTTTCTGTCATCTTCTTAACAGAGCGTTAGTAACAGCACTACGTTTCGCAGCACCACATCGGCATATAAACATGCACGCGGGTCACTTAGCGCCTTCCTCCGCACATTGCGTGCACTTCTGTAAAGATGGCATACTGTCTTGTCTCAAATCCTTCAGAAAATCTTTGGAGATTACTGGAACAGCGTTTCTGAGCAGGCACAAGCCGTTTGAGGCACTGGAAAAGTCGGAGCAGTTCGTCATGTAAGCATGTGACAACACTGAACCGAAAACATGCTCCAATCCGTTAGAAGCATGTTCAGTAGATTTCATCTGGTGAAAGAGCCAGGTAGCCCTATTAGTTATGAAACCACGCTTTGCGTATTCTTTTTCTTGGAAAAAGCGCTTTGCTCAAAGGTGTCGTATAGTTATGAAACAGTGATAGACATGTCGTTACATGTAAAAAAGCAAGTGAGTAGACATATTGATCGAGATGTCATTTTATTTCAATACCATACGTGGATCACACAGGCACTGACTGGAGTACTCGATCTCTTCTGTAAATCCGGAAATTCCAAATTTCGGGGGGTGTCGCATAGTTATGGAACGCACTGTAGTTTTTATACATCTTAACACTTATGCGCGACTCGTTTTGGGACTTCACGGCTTTCAAAGGCATCGTCTCAGCGGTTTCTATCCGGACTCACGGACTTTTTACACCTATTTGGTACCTCATGTTCTTTCGCAAGTTTTCTTTGTATTGCAGGAACTGAAGGCGACAAAATCAATTGATAAAGCTTTAGTATTTACAACAGTTTGCCGCTAGTGTTGCTTTGAATCATCAAATTGCTTGGTTCTTCACTGCTTTTTCATGATCATCTTATAGTTTAACCAGTGCGTCACCTCTGCTTCGCAGAGGCTCGCACTGGCCCCATTTTCTGTATGCCTTAATCATTCCCGCATTTTAATGACATTGAAACTCACCGCGCTATGTAGGCTATCATGAATAATTCGTAAACAACTAATCATTCGTAGAGGTTTTCCATGTGAGATCGGTATTTTCGCGTGGACAAAATTTTTCGCAGAAAAACAGACGCAAATTCGAATTGGTTTTTGGTATTTTTATGGCTTGGTAGTTGCCGTAAGGACAATGAACATAGTGGGCTACATCTCTGTGCAAAAATCTTCTCAAATGATCAGGTAAAATCTTAAAAAATTGACCGTTTACACAACGAATGCTTTTTGGCGCTGTTTTCGTAAAGTAGTAAATTTTTCATTACTTTTTTAGGCTAACGTCCAAGGCTCGCACATTAGCTTATCAACTATATCCTTAACTCTGCAAAAAGTAGTACTACGGACCCAAATTTGCTGGCCAGAAGCCAAGTGGATCCGTTTGACGCGCAGTTTTCAATGGATCCACTCAACGGAGCCCCTCATGCTTTTGTACAATGAGCTTTCATGCTGGTAGCGTGCGCTATTTAAAATTTGGGCTCAGGACGTTGGCTGGAACACGATCTACGAATTTCGTGACAGACAGAGATTCACACAGACAGACAGACAGACAGACAAACGTAAACAACCCTTAGCCCGTTATTATAAGTTATGATTTATTTAACCCTAGTTGATAGCCTAGCACGTCGATGAGATGGTAACAGAATCGCCATTGTAGTCTTTGAAAAAAATGAACACCCCGCAATCAAGGATAATTCTAGTTTGCTTCATTTGAGCAATTATAAACAGGTCGGAAATTGCAAAATTCAAAGATGGCCAGCGTCGATGCGCAGTGCGTTTTTACGATGAGCAATAAATCAAGGAGGGTAGCAGATATCTACTTAGCCGTGCTCATCTTTGATAAGTCATTCATTGTCGCTATCTTCCATTGAGCTATTTCAGCGAACTCTATTGTTTGTAAATTTTGTATGCCCCTCCAACACGTAGGACGCTGTATACTATGCGAAACGTGTATCGAATAATAACCAGAAATGACTCTGGCCTCACGGCAGATTGCTGGAGTTTCTTTAACTTCAACGCTGAACTCTTGACTATGACAGGACGTGTTATTGAATCTAAACAGCGCACGCGCGATAATGTAATTCCCAAATCTGCATCGACCCAAAAGGTATGGATCATCAGACCCCATGTACCACTCCATAGCATTTCAGTTATATTGTTAATTTGCTATGCACGATCTAGCGGCGACATATCAATCTGGAAAAAGACAGGTAGTGAAACTCAGTGTCGATTTTTGACTGCTGAATGAGGGATCACTATAAGAGAGCTGATTTGTTCCCGTCTAGTGACTAATCTCATTGACGTCCATTCTCAAAATCTTGAGTTGCGAGCACATCGTCTTATACTCAAATGGTGTAAGCTGATAGTTATCAGCTGAATTGCAGCGATCTTTCAAAGGATTGTTTGGAAGTTATCTACCTGATGTAGGTTGGGTAGCTGACACTTACGTCGAAGTTCAGCTATCTCAACAATTTTAATCTTTACAAAATCACCAGCAAGTGTTGTCCAATTCGTTGGGGGTCTACATGCGCAATCGTCTGCGATGGCATTTTCAGCGTATGTGTCTTGATATTTTTTGAGTAGCAGGCCCAGCAGAATTATGGTAAATTTAAAGGATTGTTATATCTCAGATCGAGGTGAAACGATGCTCAATACTACTTGGGCAACCTCGAAGAAGAAGATTTGTCGTCTTATTTTGGAAAGACGTCGCCTAAGAATTTCCACTTCCATCGAATGAAGTGACGCGGTACCTTGCTATCTTAGCCAAGTTACTTTGAAAAACTTTTTATGCAAGTGGAGCTCAGCACAGTTATAATAATTGTTTCTACAGTGTCAAGTTATCGTATTGCAATAAGAGGGTCGGTGAGGTAGGAAAACGTGAAGCTGCCTACAAGGGACTCGTAAGGTGATGTTGATGAAAGAAAACTAGGAGGGAAACATGACGGTTTGCAAGAACTGAGGGAAAAGTGCCAAAGAGTGTCTTTTTCCATAACTTTCAACCAAACCATCGACCTCAAATACATCGAAGAAGTCGTGCAGATTTTTTGATGTGCATGGATGTATTTTCTGATCCTTACTATATTATCCAGTAGTAAACTGTGTTTCGAGTGACCGACCGTTTAACATTTGTTTCAACTGGCTTGGCACCGTTAGGGCGGGGTTTTGTGATCTAATTGAGGCCGCTCGCGCCCGCCGTCTCTCTCGCGCGAGTGCAGTCTGATCATTACCTGCCTTAGTTAGGTCACGAAGCCCCGCCTTTGCCGATGCCAAGCCAGTTGAATCAAATGGTAACTGCTAACGACTTACAAGAAAAGGATACTTAATGGCCGTGCCCATTGCAGTGAGACACGAAAAAAAATAAAATAAATGAATGCGCCTTGAATAGCAGATTACTAATCTGCTTTCGCTCTCTGCTAAGCGATTTTTGGAATTATCTAAGCGCTTTTTCCGCATAATTTCTGACCACTAAGCATAGTCAGAATTAGCGATATCTCAGTTTTTGAGTAAACGCAAGTAAGACAGAATATATAAATTGAGTAATTGCTCTCTTTTTCGAATGTTGTTCCGAGGGGCAAAGCAAGAAATTTGAGCGATTTTCATAGTTTTGCTTACCTGAAGAAGTGCAGATTTTTATGGAGAATTCATAATTTTTTTCAGAAAATCCAGTACAGTTTGTTAGATCCTAGATTGTAGTGATCAACGTCAAATATCTTTGGTTTTTTTGCCCTTTCCATCGTCTCACGCATCGAGTTTGATGACTTTGAGCATAATTCTTAGGTAAGCATAAATACAGGGTGTCCCAAAAAATGTATCGAACGTTTGATCGTTAATATCTCTCTTCCCAAAAAGTCTTTTGCCTTGCTTCAGGTACCGTTTTGTAGAGCTGGCTTCAACTTAGATTTGCATTATAGAACGAATCACCCATCTCCCTTCATTACTGTAGGATTACGGTAGAAACTTCAAAGAGGGTTTTAAGCAATGAAAGGCCATATTTTGCCCCAGAAAGGAAACAAAACAGCCTGAAAGCTTTTACACGAGGCTAACTAGAGTTACTGATTATAACTGTAAAGTTCCCAACTCATTACAATGTTTTATTGAAGAGTTATGCCACGTAAGAGGTAGCGGCCATTTTTTCAATGTTCCTAAAAAGTGCGGTTACACCGTTTAAAAAGCTTCGCAATCTTGAGAATAGTTGAGTATTGAACTCAGCGTCCATAAAAACCCCGATACACAAGTTTTCACAATTTTTTGAAAAATTTTGAAACGGCAGCTTTTTCCACATTGACACCATATGTTTCAAATTTCTACCGTAATCCTACAGTAATGAAGGGAGATGGGTGATTCGTTCTATAATGCAAATCTAAGTTGAAGCCAGCCCCACAAAATGGTATGTGAAGCTAGGCGAAAGACTTCGTGGGAAAAGAGATATTAACGATCAAACGTTCGATACATTTTTTTGGGACACCTTGTATATCTCGCTATCCCGAAAAGCTCTCAGGCTCCTTATAGCTACCTTGTCTTTAAAATGTAAGGTTTGGTACCTGTATGACATTCTTATGGACATAGAAACTCATAAGATGCGCTTCGTGTATCATTGATTCTCTTGCCTGTTTGGACTCTTCGGTCACTGTTTCAATGGAAGCTCCATGACAAATCTTCAAAAAGAATTTGCTAAAAAGAACATTCAAAAAACGAACAATCGACCTTAATTGCTACTTGAACTATGTCGTTTGGCTCTCTTTCATACATTCCTCTATATACTTGACAGAAATTCCCTTTACCAATCAGATCCTATGAAGAATAATAATGACTGTTTGTTCGATTGCTTTCATCAAATTGTTACCTTATGGATATCAAATGTGCAAGCAGCATGCTTAATTAGCCATTTTGGTCGATAGATGGGTTTAACCATTCTCAAATGACCGGGAAGGTCGTGTTTCTATATGACTTAGCCATAAATCAGCACAAAACAACAGCAACTTTATTTAGCATCAAAGGCAGTACAAACAAACTTCGAAGTTGTTCACTAACCGTCCTTCTTGATACATATGATCAAGAACCATTAACCAAGCTAGTACATAAGCGGCAGCTAGTAATCAGTAGTCGCCGAAAAAATCTAACAATAAACTCTCACCCAGTGTCGTACGTAATTTCGCTGATTGGTTTACTCGAAAAAATTCGCTAAGCTAGTCAGGGACGTATTCTTCAACCAACCCCTCAAGTTAGTCTATCTCTGGGGCCAGCATTTACTAAGCTGATGGGTTAACCTAATCAGTAAGTAAGCTAATCCAATGTTTTCCGATGAATACGACCACAAACATATTTTTATTGTTGGACTATATATCGTAGGAGCTGCTGCTTGAGCTATAATCAAGCTCCTACCCAAACTTGTCAAAACTTCGGAAACCCGTTGTCTGAACATGCCTTTGAGTCTAAAGTTGAGTCTTTGGTGTTACCTGATAGTATTCAACAAGTTCTACTACTGTGTCAAACTTCGGGCAATTTTTCTTTTTGACTAGAGCTCCGAGTGCCCATTTGCCATTTTGAAATCTGTAAACCATGCGTTATTGCACCTATATTTTGTGAAGGTTTCTGCTGATGACTGTTTGAGTTTATGGTCGCTCAAATAAGCTATCAAGCATGAGTTATATGAAGTCAGTTTAGCATCATTACGACCGCACACAACAGGTACTTGCTTGTTTTAACCGTGTTCGATTTATATGCTGAGTGACCTAAGAAATTGTATCGAACGCTTGATCGCATCGCTAATAACCAGGGTCAAGCAAGGGGTGTGGCACACGATCGCTGGTTACGACCCCCCCCCTGATTGCTGTCTTAATAAGACCCCCCCCCCCGAACTATATACCTAAGATAGCATTACCAGAGTTGAGAAAGAGGTCAGGCACAAGTCCTTCGAAAACCCTCCCCCTCCCATGAAAGCCCTCAAACGATCCCTTCTTCCTCATCTTAACCTCTGGACCTCAGAGTGTCATTCTGGAGGACACCATCTTTTTTTTAGAGAGTTTTCAAATTTCTGAGAGCTGTACGCCCGATTTTCTGTGACGGCACTTTACAATCACACGTAATTTGACGGCTGATTTTGATCTGAATGGGCATATTGAAAGGGACATAATTTTCTTATGGGTGGGGCGTTCGGCTTTAAATTCCCAATGTAGCAAGAAGAAGCTATGTGCTCAATACACATACCAGCAATGGAGCGCTTTCTGGGTTTTGAAGGTAAGTTAAAGGGGTGCGGCACACCCCCTCAAAAGCTGCGGCAGCTGCAGCTTTTAAGGAGGTGTGCCGCACCCCATTAACCATATCAAAAAACATTTTTAGCGGACAGTATTTATATGATCGATAGCCTAAACCTCGTAGATTCCATAGGAATGTTTTAAGCCTGATTCGTCTTCTTAGCTCTGAGTAATATTTGGTGAAAGCACAGCCACTAAAAGTGAAAAATGGGAAAAATGAGATTTTGGTTGGCTTCTAATTCCACGGTTTGGAAGTCTTTTGAAGCGGGATTTCTGAGGTGGACAAAGAACGAGTAGTGCTTTGTCTTGAGTGCAAAAATGGATAGCTAATTCACCTTTGAAAAAAGTTAACCATGTTGAAATATGACCATTTCACACTTGGTAAGCTAGTATTTTGAATCTTTAGAATTTGCTCAAACTTTGTCCACAGGGGTTACTTGACATGCTAATTATGGATATGAGACGAATATCATGTCACTATTATCAGATTACCCAACTACGACCCCCTCCCCTTGTGACTCCTCAATACGACCCCCCAGGTGTGTCGTGCCGCACCCCACGCGTGACCCTGCTAATAACTCTCTTGTAAGGAAAGCTTCCGCGGTCTTTTCCTATATAATCTAAATACAAATAAAACTGAAATCTCGTAAATTTGTTCATTAGTAATTATTTGGCTTATAACTCTTTTGTGCGTGAACCGATGAGGTTAAAATTCGTTTATAAATAAAGCGCGGCGCACAAGATAGGCTACTTTTTGCGACGACTTGTTAGGCCCTTCAATCGATTTGTTTATTTGTTTAGTTATATCGAGGGTTCGCCAACCATTGTAGGATCACTTCCTCATAGTTATGTAAGTCGGTCGGTAAGGTTCATTCAAATTTTCGGCGAAAAGGATCCGGTGTTTTAAGTCAGCAAGGAAGACGTATTCCATCACATTTTCGTCGCAAATATGGAGAAGGGCGGTAGTCTCAACGCGTTGGGGTCAAGTAGCCCAATTCTCGGGAGGGCCCGGGTACGCCATCTAGAGAAAATAATACGGTAAAATGTTCGTTATGTTGTGTTTCATTATGACCAACACATTACCACCGGAACGCCTTAAGCGTGTTAAGAAAATGAAAATGAAACACTGCAGAGCTGGGTTCAGCTTGTAACAGTATAATCCAAATTGTCGATCGCTCTTCATCACTGTAGGGTTAGGCAAGAACTTCTAGCCTACAGCGCAATTGTTAATAAATCGCTGTTCTAAAGAAAAAGTTCCAGAAATATGGAAAGTTGTGTACCAGAGTTTTTACTCCTGCCAATTCTACTGCTTCACTTGCTATACATTTCAAGGCTTTTTGGGTTCCACTCCCATTTTTGTCTAACATTGAGGAGATAACTGCTACTGTGTTTTGCAAAGTCATGACAAAGCTAAGGTTCAGTGCATATTCGTAGTCAGCGACTTTAAATTAGACCAGTGTAATCTCACGTTGCTTGGTTTGCTTTCTGGGGCAAAATAGGGCGTGAACTCAAAACTCTCTTCAAAGTTCTCACGGTATTCCTACACTAATGAAGAAAGATCCGCAGCATTATTGAACTAGACTGAAGTCAGCTCTACATGTGATATTTAATGGCCGCGAAAGCTATTCAGATAAGAGTGTCATTAGAAGAAACATTTGATACATTTCCGAGACACTCTGCATATTCGTCATAAGACACCTGCAGATACACTTTAACTCACATCATGCCTTATAATAAGCCGTTAAATCTTTCGCTGGATCGAGGTTGTCCGTTACGAAAATACAGTGAGGATTGCGTTACAATAGTTCAACAATGGGAAGTTCGCATAACAAGGGAGGTTCTATGTTGTTTGGCATTACTTAATGGTCGCTCAAAGGAGGAATGATCGAAAACACACTACCATTACGTAAGTTCCTCTTATCGTTCCATATTAACCAGTGCGAGTCTCTGCTAAGCATATGTGATGTAGTGGTTAACAATAACACAGCTGTACGAAAAACAGCACCTAACTGATTAATTGCAAGTTTTCTGAGGACTTGCTGTCAACAAGGACCTTGAGGATAGAACGTAATTTCCCACCTAATGTAGATCACTCATGTGAATGAAAGCTAAATTGTTGAGCACATACACTTGTCACTGTCAGTGACTCGTCTCTATGCTGTCGCTTGCACACTTTTTCTCATCGCGACGACGTATTCTGTCAACATTCGGCATATTCTGCACATATAACTCATTGTTTACCGCTGGAGAAGCGCTTCTCAATTATAGAGTCATTTCCATAGATTCTCAGGCTAAAGCTAACCTAATTTGGATTGATAAAAAACACCCTTGAGCTCTTGTGAGAATCTATGTGTACAAAATTAGTGAATTCATTGGCATGGATAGCTGATGTTTTTGATATTGCTTTCTTACTTTTCAGTAAACCAATTTTTGTATCTACCAAATAATTGATTCAAAAAGCTTCTGCAATTTCCTGCCACATTTTAACAGAGATTTTTGATTTCTCGTTGCCATAGATGGTTTTAAAGGATTTCACTGCAGATTCTGTGAGACCTTACATGGAACTTGGCTTTAGCTTCAACATGATAACTTACGACGATCACGACATCCTTATTTGGATGACTTGTCTGCCTCGAGAGCCTCTCAAGATTGACCTATCCGCTTGCCAAATGCCATTTGCAAATTTCTTCTTCTCGATTTTGCTTTTATATATTCACTTCATTTATTCATTCATCACTCATACATACAACATACATGCATATATTTGTTCATTCATTCGTTCATTCAGTCATTCATTCATTTATTCATTCATTCCCCCCACAATGGTCGGCCGCCTCATCGTGGCGTGGGGGTGACACTGGGTGTCGAACTGCGATGCACAGCCGAGTGTATACTCTGGCAGGGCCTCCCAAGCTGTGAAGGAGTTCGACGTTTCCGGTTTCGGCCGGATGCCTAGCTAAGAGCCGGCCAGGCCAGATCCGCCGCCGTCTGGTTTTCAGGTCGCTAGGCGGTTCTCCCCGCTCCAAGCCCGGGGTCAGCGATCGCCCCGTGGAAATCAAGAGTTGGCCTAGTAAGTCTGCTCTTGTAGGGGAAAATTTCATTACTCTACCAGTTAGAAGAATAGAAAGAAACCCTGTACATCGGATCCCGCCTACGGCGCCGGGTGGTAGCAAGACTGATGTCAGGGTCCTCAGGGCGCCTTTTGGATTGGACAAAAACGACACGTCTGCCCGGACGACACGCCACGGAGACTGCCTCATGCTCTGCACCTACAACGCCAGAACAGTCTCCACAAACGCCGACCTCCACGCTCTTCTCGACGCTGCAGAGCACATCAAGTACCACATCATCGCTCTGCAGGAAACGAAGTCCAGGAAGAAGGACGTGCGACAGATGAATGATGGAACACTCATCATTCGTGGTGAGAAGGTTCCATCACGAAACGTGGGAGGTGTTGGCTTTGTCGTCCACCCATCTATCGTCCATCTTGTCGATTCGCACGAGATCCTATCACCCCGACTAGCCATCCTACGACTACGCCCTCCACGTCAGAAGACCATCAGCATCATCAACTGCTATTCTCCAACATCAGCAGCTGACGACTCAGAACTAGATGCTTTCTACGAAGACGTGGAGGAGGTCGTCCGCAACGAAAAGTCCTTCTACAAGTATGTTGTGGGCGACTTCAATGCGAAAATCGGGATGCCACTAGAAAAGGAATATAGGATCGGGAAGTTTGGATATGGGCTCCGGAACGAAAACGGCAACCGTCTTGTTGGGCTTCTCTCCGCCGCACGACTTTTCCATGGGAATTCCATCTTCATGAAGAAAGAACATCGCCGGTGGACATGGGAATCGCCCAACGGAACGACTCACGCGGAGATCGACCACATTCTCGCCAACCGAAGGTGGAGCTTGCTCGATGTCTCAGTAGTTCCATCCTTCTGCAGTGGCTCCGATCACCGCCTCCTTCGAGCGAAGATACGACTCAGCCGAAGGCTGGAAAAGAAAGTCTGTCATAGTGCCGCGAGAAGGAAGGAAGTCGTTTATGACGGTAACAGGCTGGAAGAGCTCATATCAAGTTGTGACTGGCCCATCGAGGAGGACCCAACGTACGACTACGACCGGCTTCTGAAAGGATTGCGAGCCTGCGGAGAATGTGCCTCAGTGACTTCTGAGAAGAACTTGGAACGTATTTCGAAGACCACCAAGGAATTGCTCGAAAGAAGAAGATTTCTGAGGCAGGATCCGAATGCAACCCATCTCGAGCGACTGATAGCCAACGCCAGTTGCAGAACAGCTTTGCAGGAGGATCTCAGGAAGTACAGGCAAGCCAAGATACTGGAAGCAGCCGAAGAAAGACGAAGTCTTAAGAAATGCCGAAGGGACCTCTGTGAATATCACGTACCGCTGGCTGCACTATTGAACGAAGACGGGACTCCGACTTCTTCCCGATACAAGATGGAATCTATCGCGAAGAACTTCTATACCAACCTCTTCCGCTCATCAACACCCGTGCCGACGCCCGTTGTTCCCACTGGAGAAGTACCACCACGAATTCTACCTGCTGAAGTACGCACGGCGATTCAGACCATGAAGACATCCACGGCTCCAGGACCAGACCATCTTTCCGTCGAATTTCTGCGAGCCGGAGGACAACGTCTACACGAGATTCTTGCGTCGCACCTGACATCTTACCTTCAGAAGGAGAGGATTCCCGACCAGTGGAGAACGTCAAGAACCGTCCTTCTTTTTAAGAAGGGTGAACGGGAAGATCTTCGAAATTACCGTCCAATATGCCTGCTGAGTGTGCTGTACAAGCTCTTCACGAAGATTATCCTCGCACGCATATCTAGGACACTGGATGAAGCCCAACCCCAAGAACAAGCTGGATTTCGCAAAGGATTCAGCTGCATGGACCACATCCAGACGGTTTCGAGGGTCATAGAAGTCTGCCGGGAGTACCGACTGCCTCTCGTCCTAACCTTCGTCGACTACGAGAAAGCCTTTGACAGCGTCGAAACCAACGCCATCCTGTCTGCGCTAGTCGATCAAGGAGTGGAACCAGCTTACGTGAGGACACTAGCCGACTGCTACAAGGACTGTACAACAACGATGCAGCTATTCCATCGCCCCCTAACCATTCCAATTGGGAAGGGGGTTCGACAAGGCGACACTATTTCGCCGAAGCTGTTCACCGCGGCCTTGCAGTGGGTGATGAAGTCACTAGACTGGGAAGAGAGAGGCATACGAGTTGATGGGAGATTCCTATCCAACCTTCGTTTTGCGGATGACATCGTCCTTTTCTCGAGCAGTATCACTGAAGCAGAGGCGATGCTGAAGGAACTAAACGAAGTAGGGAAGAAGATCGGACTGCGAATAAATCGGAAGAAGACTCAGTTCATGAAGAACGCCCTTTGCGAAGATGCAGAAATGGAATTGGAAGGCACCTCTATCATGGAGACGTCTTCTTACGTGTATCTCGGACGTTCGATGAACATGGAGAACGACTTGAGGGAAGAACTTAACAGGAGAAGAAGAGCAGCCTGGGCCGCCTTCGGGCCTCTGAAGGAAGCCACCGACCAACTGACGGACCCGGAGCTTCGTGCCCACCTGTTCGACTCAACCGTTCTCCCAGCGCTCTGCTACGCAGCTGAGACTTGGGCCGACACCGTAGCCACGTCGAAAGCTTTAAGGACCACCCACAGAGCGCTCGAGCGCAGTCTTCTGAAGATGACCCGACACAAGCAACATCTAGTCGGACTTCGCAGCACGGATATGAGAAGAATGTCCCGTCTTCGTGACCCAGCGGAATACGTTGCGAAAGCGAAACACCGATGGGCCGGTCACATAATGAGAAGAACGGACGATAGATGGACACTAAGAACATCTGAGTGGATTCCTCGCGAAGCCAAACGTCCTCGAGGAAGACCACCGACGAGATGGGCAGACGTGTTCGTGGAACGGATGGACCAGCTGAGAAATCAGCTGGATACGATTCTTGCCCCTGGAACTCGTGGACGCAGCCACCGACGACGACCAAGAAGATCGTGGATGTCCGAAGCGAGGGACAGGGATCAATGGCGACTTCTGTACTGGGGCCCGCACGTCACGTGAGGACGGGCCATCTAAGTATTTAAGTAAGTAAGTAAGATTCATTCATTCATTCATTCATTCATTCAGTCAGTCAGTCAGCCAGTCATTAATTTATTTATTCATTCATTCGTTCATTCGCCTATCTATATTCCTTCTCCGTCATTCAGTCATTCACCCAATTACTCATTTCATTTCTCCATGATGCATTTATTCACCCAATTAGTCATTCATTCATTCTCATTTATTCTTGATTCTTTCATTCATTCACTCATCCATTCGTCCATCCTTCGTTTAATCATTCGTTCATTCACTCCATTTCTTATTTATTTTGACCCTTTCACTTCGCCGTCCAAACGCAGCGCTCCCCAGAAGGTAGCTCATGTGTTCCATTTGTGAAAAAAAAAAGAAATTTAACTATTAGGTTGTCAAGAAATTAATGTCCGTTTTTATTTGCTTGCTTTAACAAAGCAACCAGACTCAACCCAACAAAGGGTATGGGGTACTGTTCGATAGAGCAAAGCAAGCTCTACAAGATGGCACTCATGTCTTTGCGCCATGCTTGATCCACGGAGAGTTCGAACTCAAAATCTAAAGATTTCCAAATGCCCAAAAAATCGAAAAAAATCAGATCTTCGTCCAAATAATTTCTACGGACCTCCCACTCGCTCACATCAATACTATTTATATCTGATATCCACATGTGCGATTGCCGTATTTTTTCCTTGACTAGAAACTGAGAAAACGAAAATTTCCCTGATTTTCTCAAAGCAATGCTGAGCCGTTTTTGCATATGTAGTTCTATACTACAAGCCTAGGTAAGCATAACTGTAGGTTTTCAGCCTATTTCGAGCGGTACTTTTCGAGAAATGTCGATTTTAGCACTGAAACTAAAACGAAAAAATCCGAATTTGTTGTTTTTCGAAAACTACCGCTTGGAATGGGCTGAAAATCTACACTTATACTTACCTAGGCTTGTAGTATAGAACTACATATGCAAAAACGGCTCAGCATTGCTTTGAGAAAATCAGGGAGATTTTCGTTTTCTCAGTTTCTAGTCAAGGAAAAAATACGGCAATCGCACATGTGGATATCAGATATAAATAGTATTGATGTGAGCGAGTGGGAGGTCCGTAGAAATTATTTGGACGAAGATCTGATTTTTTTCAATTTTTTGGGCATTTGGAAATCGCTAGATTTTGAGTTCGGACTCTCCGTGGATCGAGCATGGCGCAAAGACATGAGTGCCATCTTGTAGAGCTTGCTTTGCTCTATCGCACACTACCCCTTACCCTTTGTTGGGTTGAGTCTGGTTGCTTTGTTAAAGCAAGCAAATAAAAACGGACATTATTTTCTTGACAACCTAATACATGCTTCCGCCCACCTACTATACCATAGTCGAGGACTGATTGTTCGCGTGAAAGTAGTATGTTCAAGAGAATTGAAGTTTTGACTTCTTAATGACGGATTAATCCGAGCTGCCGTTTGAGCAATGCCTACAATGGTTCTTTAGAACCCTTATCAGAAGTACAGGTCCCGAGACGTTTGAGCACTGCCTGCAACTAATTTGGGACATCCTGCAATTACTTCCTCTGGGAATAACTTTTCACTCACTCCCGCCTTTTACTTGTTTGCTTCATTCTTCCAATAGTTTATAATGGATACTGACAGCAGCATTCCTCAGTTATAGACTTTTTCCTAGTTTTAATGTTTTTGCAAGTCTCAAAGGCATTCCCCAAGGAGAGTGCTCATCTATCTTTATAAGCTTCTGCACTTTGAAAATTGCAGACTTCCACGTATTGATTGGCTGTCACCTTTCTTGCTTTTGCAAAGTGAGAGAGAGTCATTTTGTCTATCAAGTCATTATGTAGCATGATGTCACTTCCTCTAACAAAGACCTAGACATTAGAGGGCTGAAAAACTATATATCGGAAAAAGGCTGTTTGCGGGGAGTTTTTAGTCACTATAAAAAAAACTTTATTCTGCCCTTTTCTACTGCTCCAAGAAATCTGTGTAGTTGGCACTTAAGAGCTTATGTAAGGCCTTAATCGTAACCTACTACTTTCAAAAAGTACATGGAGCTTTTAGTGCTTAACGAAATTAACAAGCTATAGCTGATTATCATCGAAAATTGTTGATGTTTGTAAAAGAGAGAATATAACAACAAACAGGTCACTGTTAACTTTGTTGTGATTATTTTCCACAATGAAATCACTAAGTCAAAAGAACGAAGGCCTTTCCCCACTAAAAAGTAACCCTAACGCAACATGTTAGGCAGACATGCAGGCATGTAAGGCTACGGTAGAAAACGGTGTCGTTTGCAAAAAGAATTCCAACTGCAATAGCGTTTACGTAGCCTAAGAGGGGTAATAAATGTGCAGCGGAGAGTTTTTTCGAAGGGAGGGAGGAGGGTGGAAGTAGCTCACGCCACACCCACTTTTTTCCAAATTTACGGATTACAAGAATGTTTAGTAACTTTGAAATCATGAACTTCTCCAGGCTCTAGAGGATGTGTCCCCACCCTTTCACCTTGAGAATCTCGAACCGCCACTGCGATTTGGTATTCAATGCAATTAATGATGCTTTTCTCAAAAACTTCTGACCACACTCCCCCCCCTTCCAAAGAATTTGTCTGCGATTTATAAGTACTGTGATTTAGAATTATTATCAATTACAATACCCTGCTATTGCAGTGGTAATTCGAGAATTACTTTGGGGGTGAGGGGGGGATGCGTCCGAGGAATCTTTTTAATGATGTTCGATAAAGTTTTGAGACTTTTTACAAATTTTCTAGGGTTCATAACTCGAATTCAATAGAAGGGACGTTGCGGCAGCCAATTTGACTGCCTTTTCAAGAATTGTATATTACGTACGAGGAAAAACAGAACATCAACCCTTACTCATCTTCTAAACTCACTTGAGTGTCAAATGTGAATGTTGTCGTTTCTGGTTTTTGAGTGAAATAATTATTTCCGGAATCTCTCGTGAATCTGTCGTCCGTACAAGCCAATCTCCAGGTTGATTGAGCAGACTTCTGCAAAACAAATCTGCAATATGCGGGTTTTCTTTTGTCACCCCAAAGATATTTCACACAATAAGCACATGGAAAACAAGTTTTGCTTGTGCGTAAAATAAAATTACATTCGCGACAATTTGTGCGATTCACTTTGAGATTCGATTACGATGCGCATTGTGAAAGGGTATGAACGTCACGGCTATTTGTCATAAACATGACAAATGGCTGGATTTAGCCAGGCTTCTCGTCCCGCTATATGGGAAAATTTCGATTTGTTCTTCCTTGCCTCTTTGCTTCAGCACTCAGCAGCTAGATCACGCTCTATTGAGTCAAGAACACTCATAAACAATCAAAGACCATGTCATCAGTGATCTTTGTTCATCTATAAAGGTTTGGAGAAGCAAAAGTCTTGGCCCAGTAATACACCTAATCACTCATCCAAAATTTGTGGAAATGTATATCTCCCTTTTCTCTTGCCCATTCATCACCTATAACTTTTCTATATTCTCATTCTGACCAAGTCAGCATGTATGACGCAAATGTGAACAAAAAATGCGAGGGTTATTTGCAGCTAAATTCGACACTTCCCACTAGGGAATCAAGTTTTATGCAAAACGGAGCTTCTTATTCATTGCAAGCAGACGTCTGAGAGACTCCTTTGATAGCAAATATAAATAGTTGAGCATGCAACACGAATACAGTGGCCGATTCAGGCCTATTTAATCTACAGGCATTTTGAACGGGAGACCACTTCGCTACGCGCCGCTGAGGCACAATACGCTGTCGCTTACGACAATCAGCTGCAAACGGCCGTCTTGCACGCAGTACTATCATTCTGAGTGATTTTTGAGTATATGGTGCCCTAGGTCTAAAGTCACGTGGATCCTGGCGCGAAACTGCCATGAATCCATGCGAATACGATCGCGGGGTTCAGTTTCGAGGGGAATATCACAGCCGTTAGAGCACTACCTGCGCTGCCGCTTGAGCAGTGCCTTAGTTAGGGCCCCAAAAGTACTTTTAACGTAAAATCCCATAGGTCTAGATCTCTCCGGACGCTGCCTCTAATCCTTACATGCTGCCACAGCCCTACAGCCTTACACGCCTTGTGTCTCCCGTATTCGGTTGGGGCGCCAGTATGAATCCCCAGCTTGTTGGCGACCAGGTCATTACTCGATTTGGAACAAGCACACGATCAGGAGATTCGCACTCGTTATATCAAAATGTGCGCCAGATGGTGTAAACACATGATGCGCGAAGATCATATGCGCCAAGTACGCCATTTGGAGCATAGTGAGAACTGGCCTGATGCGAGGTAAAGCCCTGCTTCCCCCTGTTCATGCTAGTTCTTCTTCCTTTTCTTGTATTATCTTGTCATTTGCAAACTTCTTCAATTTTGAATACATAAGTCAGTTGCGGAAGTTACTCAACCATCAATAGTCAATCAACGATATCAGTAACCAAAGACAAATCACAAAAGGTTAGGGGGCTCCTTATATTGAGTAAAGCAAGGAATTACTAAATTTGTTGGCATCGGCTGAACATTACAAAAAATATAGGCAGCTGCATGACGCAATATCGTTGTGCGAAAATGCGGGTCCATTAGCCGCAGATCGCATAAGGTGCAGGATTTACTACACTGAAGATACGCACGCGTCGCGTTCGCGCCCGCTTAAAGGCAGTGTCCGAGCAAAAACTCAATTTTGAGATTTTGTGCCTACCCGGGCCTATTCGCCATGCTGAATCCGAAAATGCACATTGGAGAACTCGAAAACGGCCAAAAATGGCTCTAACACAGGAGGGAAATTAGCAAGTGGGCAGGTCTTCCCCAACGTGAAATCACGCTCCCAGCTTCCGGAGCGATCTTCTCGCTTCCGGTTTCAAGTCAATCATTCGCACTTGGCTAGTATGGATGTGACAGCTAGCGGAATCGAGAAGACTGCTTCGGAAGCTGGGAGCGTGAATTCACAGTGGGGAGGACCCCGCCCACCTGCTGATTTCTTTTCTGTGCTATGGTCATTTCTGGCCGTTTCCACGCTCTCCAATGTGCATTCTCGGATTCAGCGTGAATAGGCCCAGGTAAGCAGAAAATCTCAAGATCGAGTTTTTACCCGGACACTGCCTTAAGTGATACCGCTTCCGCGCCTGTACTAACCTTTATGCATTTTGCTTGCCACCAATGAGGCACTTAAGATAAGCTCGAATGCTAGTATCACGGGCGAATTTGCAAACATCACGTCACGATGAGTTATGGAAAGTGCGGAGCCTAACTCACTCTTTTCCATTTATGTGTAACATCAAGTCAAAGCATTTTCTCAGTTGATCTTGCCAAAGAGAAGTTGTGAGCGAGAATAGGAAAATAGTGAGAAAAGATATAAGGGTGCCGCAAACGTTTAGGAGATTTGTGCACCAAGCACGACGCTTTAAAGTTTTAAACTTGCACAAATCTCAATCATTATCCACCGAAATGGGAACAAGAGCAAGTTCCAATTTTCTGTTTCAACCTTAGCTTATTCCACAGAGTAAGCATCCTTACTTCGTTTGAAAAGTGACAAAGTAAAAGAGATGCAGTGAAGCGCATTGGACTTAGTAAAGCAGAGCACACTTCATGTCACAGAGGTAAGACACGATCTTAACAGATAGTGTGCTGCTACAGGAATTTTTGCGACACTGATAATCGCCAAATCGTGTGCTCGCATCATATCATGTGCATGTTTTTAAGAAAGCACGATCTGAAGTTTGCGTGATTGATATATAGCGCCTCTGTTCGCCTAGGCAGAAGCCGCGAATTGCCGCGCTCGACTGGTCCCGGACGGAAAATACCCAGCAGCATTACGGTACTGCGGGTCGGTCTACGGCCCTATCAGCCGTTTCGTTGGAGAAATGATGGTTCCAGGTAGCAACCGACTAAAGTCAGAAATGAAATACGAAGAATTGGTGGGAAGTACATAAGATTTGCTATCGCTCTCATTCTTCTTTCATTGCTACAGTCGACATGCGACAATCGGTTGGGCCTTTTAGCCTATGAGGTAGAAGAGAGGACCGGTACAGTCTGCCCTAATGCGATCAGGCCCAACCGTCGGCTGAATTTGCGAGCTGAGGGCTGGGGTCTGCGTTGCGGTCGGAGAGAGCGATGAGATTGAGGAGAGAGCAGACTAGCTAGTCGTAAACGTGACGCAATACACTCGCGACACGGACTCCCGCCATGCCAATTTTGGCCTGGTTGTGATTGGGGGAGACTGTGGGGGAAGGAGGAAGTGGAATAGGCCTCTGGAAGGAGAGAAAAGCGGCCTTATTGATGTTTGAGAGGAGACAATACTTGAGACGAAGGGACAGTCGTCGGGCTCCCAAGTTCTTCCCTTTGTCGCATTTTTGAAATTCTAATGATTTGGATAAAGAGATGTACTCTAACCTTCCCTCTCAGTCTCCCCTCCCCCTATGTAATCATCGCTAAAGTTTTCCGCAAGTGCCCTATAGCCACGAGTCTCAAATAACCATTTGTTGGCAAAGCGCCGTATTCACCAGGCAGTAATCGGACACCAAGAGCCGTCTATGGTCCTTGAGGAAATTGCTCCAACTTCCATCCAAACGCAAAAACACTGCCAAATATGGTGCCCCAAAAACGGCGCAATACTCACAGTATATCCTTCCGTGGTCTGAGTCCATGATACCATGGTTGATTTTCCAGATTATTTGCAGCCATATTGAGAGGTATAGTGGTGAAAAATGGGTCACACCAAGCTTGTCTATTTTCACATTGATTTTATCACTGAATAATCAGCGTATTTGTCTCCTGAAGTGTTGTAGCCAAAAACACTCAATATACCAATTTCTAAGCCAGCATAATGGTAGTTTCGGATGCCTCATGCAGAAAATTAACAATCTGGGTTTGTCTAGGCGTGTAATTACACACGAAATACCCAGTCAAGCATACTCAACTGGAAATTTTGTTTGCAGTACGAAGATTCTCACAGTTTTACGTATCTGCTAGGGCTCATTCCAAAATCTGACCTTTTCAATCCCACTTAAAAGTAGCATGTGTGATTTTTTTAGTGAATTAATATAAAAATCAGAAGCGTTTTTGTATTTTAGTTTCTATAAGTAAAAGAAATTCAACAAAATCTATGCTATAAATTAATTTGGGAAAATCTGCCCAAAATCGGGTAACTCCATGACATATCTGTTTTGTTTTTTTCATTTGAAGTCCCGTTGTTGTGGCCAAGTAGGATTGGTAATGTCTGCGATTGCACAACTAACATAGTCACGGGAAATCCAGAACTTTTTTGGATCCGAAAAAGAATCTTCGCTTTTCCTATCAATATCGCAGCTACTTTTGTAAAAGACGTATGCGAATTTTCTAAGTCAATAGTAACACCTGGGATTCCACTTACTAAAAAGTGAATTTGGGATTTTCGCGCAAACTTGTATTGTTGTGCAAATGCACAACTGCCTGACGAATCTGTCCTAATGTAACTGTCTGTCGCCTTTAATTGGATACTTTGACAAGTAACGGACAAGCGTCTGGAAGAGAAACTTACCCTTTTTGGACATTCATGTTTGATCTGTCTCCAATTTCACTCATGAATAACAAATGATGTATTCGCCAGGCTGTCCTAGCCTCTTTTTGCTTATCCCCCTCCCCCCACGCGCATGAACAGCAAAATACATATTGAAACGTCGCTTTCGTGTAAAAGGTGTAGTTGCACAACAATGCTGCTAAATGAATGACTTTCTAATAAAGGCTTTTGATGATTAACAACTACCTAGAGCGCAGCAAATGGTACCTGTAAATTAAAAGTAAATTCAAAAAAGGGGCGTGTCGAGGGGCGGGGTCGTAGTGCCATTTCCTTTCCCATCGCTCGCCCTCTTTTCTTACGTTTTTCGTTCTTACATATGGCATATTAAGGCATTTTTTGTGAAAAATTAGTAAAATTTCAACTAATAATGAGCTACGCGCGTGAAAAATAAAACTTTTTACACAAGCAAAAGCCCAAAATTTTTTCGAGGAGCTCTTTTACATTTCTCCAATAAACATTTCCTCCTCGGTAGAACATAATTGCCTCCTTTCTTTTCCAAAGAAAAAGATTGCGTGGTACATCACGCAGCATCCATAATCCTGCACTTGAATCTGCCGATCACAATCAATCTTCAAAAAGCTATGCCTCCAGTTACACATAAATATCTTCATATGTATGATGGTAGCTCAGCTTTAGGCAAAAAATCAAGATCAATGTAGGCAAAAGGTAAAAGATATATGGCATTTATGAGGCAATAAACTTTATTGCATAGCTAAAGGGCTTTGTCATGTCGTTTTATTTTGTACAGCATGCAAAGCTAACTATTTCAATGTTACAAAGAAAAAAAGAAGAAACAAAGACATAAAAATAAATACATAAAAAGTTGTAGATTTCCTTAAATACCGGTATAGAGCTGAGCTTGGTCGAGTCCATAGGTTTCTGCATTGAGCCTTTTAAAAATTTGTAGTTTTCTCCAATTTTCGCAAATGACAAAGTGACGTGAAATGGTTAAGAAAAGCACTTTTTATTGCAAAAATGATTGTATTGATAAAAACTGCTCTTAGTTGACTTTTTTGTTTTATGACCTACTTGACCAAGGACAATTTGTTCTTGTCAACTATTTCTACGAATCTGAATTTTTAGAGTGTTTTTCTCATGTTTTGACTTCATTTTGCATGATTCAAATGCATATACAAAATAAAAATGTATACACATAGATATTAAAAAGAGCTATATAAAACGTCTTTGATTTTTCACTTCCCCCCTTGTTCTCTTTATTTCCCGAATTGAATTCACGAACGGTTATAACTTTCCAGGAGCTTGTCATTTGAGTAAAATTTTTCATAAAGTTCTTCATCATTTCACTCCTCCTACTCTTTTCTTCGAACCAATAATCTTGATTTTGTTGAGATTTTCTATGTTTTGCGAGTTTTTGAATAATTTCTATTACAAAACTCCCGTGATTTTTCTTTGCGTTATAGAGGGGGGGGGGGGGGAGAGGAAAAAACTGAAAGAGAAAGTGAAATCACGAGGAGTACCATGCTTTATGACACTAGAACATCTGTAAACAAAAAAGAAATGTAGGCGGACTAGATGGCTGCTTAGTCATAGAAATCAAGCTCATCCTGTTTACTACACTCATTCCCCCTTCCGCTCCCTCTTCTGTTTTTTTGCATGGCATTAGTGAAGAAGAGACACCGAAAAGCATGAGAAAAGCACCTATCAAGTATCTATGCCATAAAATTTGCAAAAAAAATTTTTCTTCTGTCTCGAGGGCAATTTAGGAGCCGCATGCGACTATCAAGCGCTTTCGAAAGCCTCTTATCTCGTCGTTTCGACCTCATTCAATTCTGAAGAGATTGCATTACTGACCAGGAAGCGTCTAAAGCCACCGAATCGATGTCTGCTACATTTGGAAAAGCGCCAAAGAGCTCTGAATCAAGTTTCTAAGCTCGAAAGTGTTCAAAATAACATGAGAAGAGTTGCCAAGTCTTTCATGCTTCGTTGACATCATGTTCCCTCCCCCCCCCCCCCCTCCCCAGCCTTCCGTTCTCTCTAATAATTGCTCACACAAGGACCGCCTCCTCCAAAGCTGAATGCTATCCAGTGTCCGTCAGCCGCCTGTGAGACGTCAAGTCTTGCTTAAAGCTCCCCTTTAACTATATAACAATTCCAGGTCCCGACTGGATCACAATCATTGTCCATTTTATGATATTCTCTCTATACGCACTCTAACACGCGATATGTGTAATTGCACTACGTCACATTATTTTCCACGACCATGATAGTAGCCCTCGAACATTGCGTGCATTCCATTGCTTGCAGCCATTCCCGTGTTTCTTTTGCAGAATCATTGAAGGAGGAAAGAGCGAGAACGGTGGGGAGGGGGGGGGGGAGGGGAGAATGGGGGTGGGTAGGCAAAGCAATTTGTTTGTTTACACCATCTCAAAAAGCAATTTTCACAGAGTCATTAACTATTTATTGGTTTGTCCCCAAATAATGGTTATATGCAAAATGCATGAGAAAGCAAGGAGGAGAAAGCGATGAGAGGGGCAAAAATATTAGAACCTCATTTCACAGGCTTTAAAACTTGAACATCTAAACTTTGTCTCTCAGAAAGTTTCTGTTTTTCCTTGCTTCCCCTATCATTTTATTTTTTGAATTCATAAAAAAACTATTTTATGCGCAAATTAATTTCCACAACTGCTTCAAAATAACGAGACAAAGGTTAAATTCTTATTCATTCATAGCCAGTCATGATTGTGAAATAATTCTAAATACTTCTGGTTAATGAGTTCTACAAAATAAAGAATTTTGCTCAGTCATAGAAAAAAAACGAATAAATTCCGGAAAAGGGCCTATAAAAATCGTGTACCTGCTTTGTTTTTTCACTTGGAGTAGAGTCAGTATTTTATCATCAACTCATTGTGAAGATAACTGGCCGAAGTAAAAAATAGTAATAGTAACCATGGTCAAAAGTTTGTGATAATCTACATCTATTTGTTTTTTCAATTTTTTCAAAATCATTATTGCTCCAGCTTAGCTTACATGTACCGAATTTTCATGCTGCAATGTTATGAAAATGAAAAGCTGACTGTAAACTTACTGGCCTATGAAATTTCTCATTCCCTGTTTTTCTTACTTGAAACGAAGCCAATATTTTTTGTAAACAAAATCAACGACGCATTCAGCAATAAGAGGCCATAGATCTTTCCATAGGGTTTGCCTTTAGCTTCTTCTATTCCTAGGCACCGTGGGAAAGCAGCCTAGACGGCTTCAGCTCATTGTTAGCACAACTCTTTTCGCTATGGGAAACTTGGTATAAATAATTTATAGATTTTACTCGTTGCAGATTTGCGGATTTTCTCACAGGAGTTTTTTTTTCAGCTGAATCAAAAATGATTGCAATGTCATCGACGCAAGAAGTGGTGTAAAAATGCCGAGTATGAGCTAAAACCTCGAGTAATGAATACTTCAAATTTTTTAGAGATTAGCTAAAGGAGCTCAGAAGTTAGCTCGAAAAGGAAACTTGCAAATGAGAAAAAGAAAAAAGTTTGTTCTTGAAGACAATTGATATTTTTAGTACGTAACTACTAATCATGTTTTTTCTGTCTCTTTTGACTATCCATTGGAAGTTTATCTATCAAATCCATTAGAAGTTTATATATCAAATGTTTTCTTCTCCTTCCCTTTACCCTTTCCCTTTTGAACACCGTCTGCAACTATTGCACTCATTACTGTTCTTCAAAGCTGTTAATTATTCTGAAAATTGAAGCTTGCTGCAAAGAATAAGCTCACTTCTTCAGCATGTTCTAGACTGCAGGAGAAAGGAAACTAGATATAGTTTTGGGAAATTTCCTTTTGCCACGGTAATTTATTCACCTCCTGGGACGATATGAATTTCTATAGATGCAGCAAAAACAGACTTTTGTCATTGACGAATAGCACTTTTTTTGTTTGAGACAAAAAATTCAAAAGACCTTAAAAATGTTTGCGAAAATCTCCGGCATATCTCTGCGTTCTGAAACTCGTGTGCTCTGACCAGGGCTCGGCATAGGTGGCTTGTAAGGAAGCTGGATATCGTTCTTGGGACGAAAAACAAGGAGAATCGTTTTGTGGCCGAAAAAACACAACTTGAGTTACGTTCTTTTTAGTCGACGTTTCGTTTTTTAGGGCTTTTCACGTTCAGGGTTGAGAGTCAAAGGG